GTGGTGAATTTGTCAATTCCTTGTTTCAAAATCATTTTCTCAATTGTGGTATTTTATTTAGAAAATCTTGTCCGGATACACCTGCACAAAATGGTGTGGCTGAGCGCAAACATTGACATCTTTTGGAATTGTCTCGTACTATGCTCATAGAGGCTGCGTTACCCTCTACTTTTTGGGTTGATGCCCTCTACACAGCTACATTTATTATAAATCGCTTACCAACACCAAATTTGCACGGGTTGTCTCCGTTTGAGATACTTTTTCAAAAACCACCTGACTATACTTTTCTTCGTGTTTTTGGGTGTGCATGTTTTCCCAATTTTATTGCATCTTCTTCCAATAAATTATCCCCACGGTCCATCATGTGTGTGTTTCTGGGATATGCTCCGGGTTATAAAGGTTATCGTTGCCTTGATCCCCGGACAGGTCGTGTCTATGTCAGCAGAGACGTTGTTTTTCATGAAACCTCTTTTCCCTATACAAGCCTTCGTCAAACACCTGCTTCACCTTCTCCTTCGTCCCCTACCGACATTCTTCCCCCTTGGACTGTTTCTTCTCACCCCACCGACCCTATCGACCTCCCTAGGCCCATCTCTGCTTTGCCCATCCCCTCTCCGACCACCTCCATTCCCTCAGCCAGCAACAGCAGCAGCCCGTCCCATAGCCCACCATCCCCACTCACGGACCCTACCAGTCCGTCCTCGGCCAGCCTAGATACACCACCGCACACACCTTCTTTTATTTTGCCTTCAGCCCCCTCCCATAGCTCCCCAACTAGTAGCTCCAGCCCTCCCACCCCGTCTCCACCTACACCCAACAGCTCCACGTCCATATCTTCATCTCCCCGTATGGCTCCTAACGTCCATCCCATGCGCACGAGAGCTAAAGATGGTATTTTTAAACCCAAAACAATTTTTAATTTAAACACTTTAGCTCTCCCTAATGATCCCACATGTTTTTCACAAGCAAATAAAAGTTTAATTTGGCGGGCAGCATTGGCAGAAGAATTTAATGCTATCATTGCTAATGATACGTGGGATTTAGTACCAAGTGATACTAGGAAAAATGTGGTTGGATGTAAGTGGATTTATAAAACAAAATACTGCTCTGATGGATCCATTGAGCGCCACAAGGCACGTTTGGTAGCTCAAGGATTTAACCAACAGGTTGGGATAGATTTTTCTGAGACATTTAGTCCGGTGGTTAAACCCACCACGGTTCGTCTTGTTCTCTCTGTTGCTGTTTCCTCAGGCTGGGCGGTGCGTCAGTTAGACGTCAAAAATGCCTTTCTCCATGGTCATCTTACCGAAGAAGTTTACATGCGTCAGCCCCCAGGTTTCATTCACCCATCCTACCCTGCTCATATCTGTAAACTGAAGAAAGCCCTTTATGGTTTAAAACAAGCTCCACGTGCGTGGTTTCATCGGTATAGTGGTTTTTTATTATCCCATGGTTTTTCACAAAGTCAGTCTGATTCATCAATGTTTACTTACCACTCTCATTCCCGCGTCATTTACATATTGCTCTATGTCGATGACATTCTTATTACCGGTAGTTCTGAGTCTCTAGTTCGTCACTTTATTCATTTATTATCCAATCACTTTGCCATGAAAGACTTGGGTGATATTCATTTTTTTCTTGGTATTCACGCTACACGCACGTCCAAGGGCATGTTTCTCTCTCAACATAAATATGTCACTGATCTGCTTCACCGTTTTCATCTTCACACTGTAAAACCAATACGGACTCCTCTCACGTCTCGCACTACTTTGTCTCTTACAGATGGGGATCTTCTTAGTGATGGTACTGAGTATCGCAGTATGGTAGGTGCATTGCAATACTTGACTATTACTAGACCTGACATTACTTATGCCGTACATTTGGTTTCTCAGTTTATGCATGTTCCCCGTACTACTCACCTTGCTGCTGTGAAAAGAATTTATAGGTACTTACAGGGCACTTCTTCTCACGGCCTATGGCTTCGGGGTGGACAGAGTGTTTCGCTGATTGTTGCTTATTCAGATGCTGACTAGGCTGGGTGTCCTGACTCGTGTAGATCCACCACAGGCTATGCTATATTTCTTGGTGGTAATCTTATTTCTTGGCGCTCCAAAAAGCAACCAACAGTCTCCAAGTCTTCCACTGAGGCAGAGTACCGAGCTGTAGCTTACACCGTACAGGACACATTATTTATTCGATCATTGCTTCTTGATATGGGTATTCGGATATCCTCCCCAGTTCAGTTGTTCTGTGATAATGTCTCTGCCTCTTATCTCGCCGTTAATCCTATTCAGCATGATCGCAGCAAGCATATCAAGATTGATTATCATTTTTTCCGTGAACGGGTTGCACACAGAGATCTGGTGGTTAAGTACACTCCTACTCAGTATCAGTTATCTGACATTTTTACAAAAAATTTGTCTAGTCAGCGTTTTGAATTTTTACGTTCCAATCTGCACGTGATTTCCCCTGCACAGATTGAGGGGGTGTAATAGTGTAATTATAAGGACTCTTATGTAATTACTCAAGTTTATTCCTTATTATAAATACAACACTAGGGCTACCTATTGGGTAAGCCATTCCATCATTATTATTTTCTCACATTGTGAGCATGCAGGCCACGGTTCCATAATCATATGCTCAATTGGAATCATTAGCTCAATTTATGATAAAATAAAATGTAGTTAAAAGACGGACGATTTTAAGAACTTTCATCTCTTTGAGTATGAACTTACACTTTTTGCATACTTTTAGCATTTGGCAACAACTCCCTCAAATTCACCATCTTTTTTTATACTCACCTACCATGTAAAGCGTCTTTTCGTGCCTCATGCAATTAGGCCCTGATATTGTCTTTTGGGGGCTATTGAAGTAGTGACGATAGTTGTCAAAGTAAGGCAAGACAAATAATATGGTTTCATCTAGGGCCAGATAAAATGGTCTGGTTTAACTAAACTGAACCGAATCAAACCAAAAATCAGTGCTTTGGTTTGGTTTGGGTTTACTTGAGCAAACTATTTGGTAACAATTAGCTCAAACCGAATGGTTTAGTTTGATTTTAAGCTAAAAACCGTAAACTGAACACCGAACATCTTGTAATATTTATAAAAAAATAATTTGTATTTTTCTGCACTCTTAATATTTATGATACAAATAATGTAAATATGAAAATTACATGTTTAGCATATACCATTTTAACTTACATTATTCATTTGAATAAAATTGTAAATTTTACATCATTTATTTTTACTGCGATTCATTTAGATTTTTTTGAATATTTCAAATGATATCATAATTGTTTATCAACTTTAAACTTACTTTTTGTGAAAGGTAATTATTTTCTAGTGGTTGAAAATATGCTAGACATTTTTATGTCATCAATCTTAGTAAAATGAATCAGGTGTTAATTTGTAATTTTTATTATCTCTTTTTTCTATCCTTTATTTTCCTTTACATTTTATTTAATCCTCAGTAATAAATACAAGAAGATGAGATGAACTACTATTTTCATTTTATAATAATTTTAAAATTTAGAACTTAATCGAATAAACATATGAAATCAAATCAAATAGAACTTACTATTTTTTAAATCAAACTTGAAACCAAACCGACCCAAAATGGAACCAAAACACAAATATTTTTAGTTTAATACAATATATCCAAAATCGAATAAACAGATATCATAACTCCGTAAGCCAAATTGTCCACCTTAATTGCATCCATCTAAAGTAGACAAATTAATTTCGTGGGTAAAATATTGTGGAAGTCACACTTTAGTATCCAGATTGAATTGTCAACTCACACTTTTGTTTAATAAAAAGCAAAACACTCCATTCCTGAAAATTAGATGAGAGCATCTTCAATGTTAAAACGTTAACGGTGCATACATGGCATGAAAAATAACCAATTAAAAAACAATATATAGATTATCTCTCTCCTTATTTGAAGTATCTTACATCATTTTGGTAAGTTTTTCTTCACAATGTCAAGCACAATGTCTAGATGTAGACATTGTGGTTAACATTGCAGACAAAAACTTACCAAAAACACGTAAGGCCGTGGAAAGAGAGAGAGAGAAATGTCATAAAATTAATATTTTGTGTCTATATCTCTCATGTCACATGTGCACCATGCACATTGTAGCATTGGAGATGCTCTGAGGGAATATAAATTGGACTTTAATCACACGCTGGCAGGATAGAGAGTGTGGCTTTATCCCTGGTCACTTGCAGGGTCCGCATGCATTTTTAGGCATAGTAATCTCTCATCGCAGTTATCGGGATTTGAACCCAAGATTTACCCTTGTGACACTCTTTTACCTACCAGTTGAGCTACGTCCACTGCTTTTGTTTTTCAATTTGTTTTTTGAACTAAGGGGGATTAATGATACACACGAGCGAAGATGATTTTACCAAAAAGTTTGACCAAGGGAATTTCTCAATTACGTTTAGAAAAATAAAACATTAAATGGAGATATTACGTTAGAGGCAAAATGTGACACTTTTCCAAACGCTTGAATATTGTTGTTGTTAAGATTATGTAAGTAAAAAAGTTTAAGGCTATTTTTTTTTTTTTGAAAGGTTAAGGCTAAAGTTATTATTTTAAAGAATAACGGATTTGTTGAAAGAGAGTCCAATTGTCCAACAAATGAAATTGGCAAAAAAACGAGGCAAGTAAAATTGAATCAAAAAATCTGTTTGGAGAAATTTGTTGATTCAGTCCCGTAACTTATAGTTGGCAAGTGACATGGCTTTTTCCGGAAAAATTAGTAAGTTCCGGCAGTGAAGGACCAAAATTGCACCAACTTATTAGTTACAGGATGTAATTTACAAGTCACTAAAGTTACAGAACCAATAACGGGTATAGCTATAAGATACGGGACTGAATCAACAAATTTCCCAATCTGTTTGTATCCACTTTTGTACCCACCCCTTATTTTGTTTGTGTACACAGACAATTCGTTAAGAGTAGACAACATTTGTCTCCTAATTGTCTGTGCACACAGATAATGTATAAAAGTGTGTATTAAAGTGAGTACGCAAAGAAGATGAATGAAGGTATTACGATTTCGTTAACATATTGTTTGTTAATTAAAGTCTTGAAAAAAAATCTGGGATTACGATTTCGTTCTCCCCCCTACTGTATCTACAGTGGAAAAAGTTGAATTCCAGACCACAAATTTCTATATTTTTCTTTTTCTTTTTCTTCCCGATTTTTCAATTGTGTGTCACCCACTCAGCCTCTCACCCAAGCTTCCTAAAAAAACAAAAACAAATGGCAGTAATAAAAAATTGAAAAAGAACTTCTTTTACTTTTCTTTTCATATTCCTCTTCTTCTTGGCATTTGAAATTTGATTGAGAAAGAAGAGTTCAGAAGCGTTTTATATTTCAAGATTGCAAGTCAAGCTGCTGTAATTTTCTCCATTTCCCACTTTTTAAAGAAAAATAAATGTCTGTTTAAAGATTGTATCTTTACTCAACGTTCTTAATCTGCATTTGAGCTCTTACTCCTTTACATCGGTATGGGCATTTTATATCTGTGTAAAAGCGAAAGAAGCTTCCTTTTTTGCTGCCATGTCTATCTTCTTTACCTCCAAACGTCTATTTTTTGTATAATTACGTTTTCCCTATTTTCCCTTCAAGGTATAGTGACTTGTGAGTGCAGTTTACTTCTGCTGTAATTATTATAAACAATAATACTTAATATCATGTTTAATCTTTAAGTATACCCTTTTCCCTTAAATTAACAGAAGCTTGAAGAAAGATTAGATTTTGGTGTGAGAATGGAAGGAGGAAGTTCAGGAGGGACTGAAGGGGTGGCAGTGATACCCCCTGAGGCTCCATCAAGCTATCATGTGCCGCCAAGACAGGACAACAATTCTTCCTTGGTCCCAGCAGGAATATCACCCTCACTCCCTTTTGTACCCTCTTCTGTTAATGCTGCTGGAATTATTGTGGGGAGCTCTGAGAGGAAGATGAAGAAGAGGGGCCGGCCCAGGAAGTATGGCCCAGATGGTGCCCCTGGCCCACTTCCCTTCACACCCAATTCTCCCTCTGCCCCACTGCCCGCCTCTGCCTCCGCGGCAGGCTTCTTGGCTGAGAAAATGAGTGCCCCACGGCCAGTATCAGAGAAGAAACAGAAGAGTAAGATTGGGGCTGAGAATTTAGGTAATTTTAGTTTTTTGCATGTAAGCTGAAAATATGACCTTTATATGGTATTCGGATTCCATATGGTTTTTTATTAATGAACCTGATGAGGAAACTCAGATTTCACTAATTTAAACTGTTTGTGAACTTATAGTTTGGATGTATTCTTCCATAAATTGTCACCTAGCCCTGATTATTCCTGCTCGAGGCATTTATTTATTTTGGCTATTTCAACCCAGATTAGTAGAGATTATTTGCTAAACAATTTGTCATGTATTTATTTATCCTTTGAGAAGATCAAGGATATGGGCAAAGTAAGGGTCTGGATACTCTGGAATGTTATGTCATCACACACTAAATATAAAATAAAAATACAAACTCATACATAATGTTTTGGATTATTTGTTGTCCATCACGTCTGAAGAAAAGAGCACATGAATTACCCTTTAAGAATAAAGAAGAATTAGGGAGTGTAGCTTACACATCACTTAAAGCAATTTTTGTCTATTTTGTAGCATTTTTTAAACTTTTCCTGTACTTTCATTTTTCATTGCATTGGTTGGTTCTCTATTGTCGACTTAATTAACTAAAGTTAGATGCTTGAAGTTTGATTTTTATATATGATTGATTCTTTTAAAACTTTTTATTGGAAACCCATAGTGAAAAGTAAAACAGATATTGATGAGCATACAACTCATGACTTACAGTATAGACGTATAGTAATAACAAGACTGCTAAATTAAGGTCTCTTCGTTTTTTCCTAAATTTCCCAAAGCTAATTCTATCTCAATAAAAAAAAGTAACTGTCTGCAATAGAACATTCATTCCGATAATGTCCTGCCTGCCTTTCAAGGTGACTGGATTTCATGTACAACTGGTGGAAACTTTCTACCCCATCTCATAACGGTTGAAGCCGGTCAGGATGTAACAATGAAGATAATATCATTTTCACAGCAAGGGCCTCGAGCTATTTGCATTATTTCCGCGAATGGTTTGATATCAAATGTTACTCTTCGTCAGCCTAATTCTTCTGGTGGTACTTTAACTTATGAGGTGTGACTCTTCATATGCAGTTCTTTTTATTAATTAAAATTAATAGGGAGAAACTTATACACATAAATTTTGCAACTTTGGTAGGGTCGATTTGACATCCTGTCTTTGTCGGGATCCTTCACTCCTTCAGAGTTTGGAGAGTCAGGGATGAGCAGGATTGGAGGAATGAGCATAACCTTGGCTAGTCCCGATGGACGTGTAGTTGGAGGGATGCTTGCTGGACTCTTAATAGCAGCCACACCCGTCCAGGTAACCCTCCCTTGAAGAGGGGTTCATCTCGGATTGTCATTTCTTCATGTCTTTCATTTATGTTATTTGTTGGTTGATTAAGTTATTTTCTGAAATTACGTTGAAGTATTTTATGAAAAGAAAAACGTTTGCTAACATCATTTTCAGCTCGCCTAATCTTACATATTCAACTTATGAGCAGAATTAACAACTTTTGTCTTCTTTGAATGAAATGGTTGTCCAAGAACGTTTTTCGCAAACGTTTAAGCCAAATAGCCCTTATAATACGGGGTCTGATCAAGTCATAAGTTTCATACTCCTAATATTCCCCAGCCAAATAACCCTTCGTCTCGAGCTGTTCTGCTTATTCTTCTTAGACATGGAACTGGCTGCCAAACAAAGCCCCTAGTGAATTTTTAGGATAGTTGCCCAGTTGGTTTCATGTTTTCGTCAGTGTAGGGTTTTAGGCCATGTTTGTGTGCAGAGGGGAAAAGGTATGTGATACATGAATGTAGCTCAAAACAGAAAACTGATAAGTCAATAAATAGTTAGGTACATTGGTATTAAACAGAAAACAGAAAACTGAATGCCAATGCTGTAATTGGTATTAAAGTGTTTGGTACATTGGAGATTAATCCTTCTAATGTTGAGATGGATAATTGGATATATGAGTGTTTTTTGCAGCAAAAGATAAGGTTAATACTTAATAGTGAAATAGAAAAAACTTAGGAATTTATATCGGAAAATCGCCAAATAAAAACTTATTTGAAACTCTTGTTGTTTTTACCAAATAAAAGCTTATTCTGAGTTTCAAATAGAGAACATAAACTTCAAATATTACAAACTATTGTACATTAAATAGTACAACTTTAGAAATTACAAATTGATAGCTACATAATCTCAATATGTACATTAAATAATACATACGTCTTTTTTATAATATAATCGTTTGAGGTGTGATTTTATTTCGATGCTAGAATTATATATATTTTTCTATGCATTATTTGGAATCATTCATGTGACTAAAGTTATTATGGGTATGACATGATGGTCATTTAAGTATAAGATAGAATATAATGATCACCAAAAGTTACCAAAATCGTCACTCAACAGTTATAGTCACATTTTAATCCATTACGGTTGTTATTATACTGATATATTGGTCGTCATTTCTTATATATATATATATATATATATATATATATATCCAGGTCGTTGTGGGCAGTTTTCTTGCTAGCAATTACAACGAGTTTAAAACGCCAACAAGAAAGCGTAAATCAGCAGAATCTACAATGCCGATTTCGAACTCCCAACGCTCTGTTGCTATGTCTCCTCATCATCATAACCCAATCTTGGAATCCAGAAGCCCAAATGCACCCGCTGTGGTTTATCCAGGATCCGGATCAAGTAATTGGGGAGCCATTCAAAATGTGGATGATGAATCAAGGAGGGGTACGACCGACATTAACATATCCTTGCAGGGTGAGTCATAGAGTGGATCTATGGCTTCTCAAGTGTTGAATGTTGTATGTTAGTTCTCTGAAGTGATTAATAATAACAATGGTAATTAATTATTTAGTTAATTAATGTCAGAACCTGACTGTAGCCAAGTTACCGTAGGAATTTAAACTTTGTTAGCTGGAGTTTAGAGCTCTATTTATGTGGGGTTTAATTACAACGTGCCCCTTTGTTGTTGAGATATGTATACAATTTTAACTATTGAACTCTTTTTGGGGGAGAATTAAGTAATGCTTTTTCATATCAATATGCACATGGTGACATGGATGATATATATAAAGCCTTCATTATGGAATAGTACTAGTAATATTTATAAAATTACCCCTTAACTAACAAGTAGGTTTTAGAGGATGTGGGATCAAATTCGAGAAAATCTAACACTGAATACATATATGTTCCTTTTACTCCGTATTATCCTACAGACTTATACATACACTTATTATTATGTCATGTATTGAACAATTCGTTGGATTTCATGTAGTTACTTTGAATTATTGTTAGAGAGTGTTTGTAACAGCTTCTGCTTAAAACACTTATGGAGTGATTTGGAAAAAGTGATTAGTAGTAAAAGTTGATAGTGTTTGAGAAAAAATGATTTTGAAAAGTAAAAGTTCGTAGTGTTTTATTGGAGCGTATATCAAAATGGGAAGATTCCCTCTTGTTTAATTTCATTCATGATAACTATATTTATACAAGTGTGAGTAAACCCTATACACAATTAGGGCCATAGCCCATTAACTATACTAATAATACAAATAATTACTCCCTCCGTCCCAGAATTAACTTCGGTTTTGACTGGGCACGGAGATTAAGAAAGTGGGAAATGTGTGGTGGAGAGTTGTGCAGAGGAGAGAGAAATGTGTAAGAATGATTGTGAACCACAAATCCTTTGCTAAAAAGGGAAAGAGGAGATAAATTTGGGACGGACCAAAAAGGAAAGAATGAAGATAATTATGGGACGGAGGGAGTACAATAGATACTAAGGCCCAACCGTGCCTTAACACCCCTCTCAAGTTGGAGCATGCGGATTGTAAATGCCCAACTTACGAAGAAGATAAAAGAATTGCCGTTTGCCCAAGGCTTTCGTAAAGAAATCAGCCAGTTGCTCGGTAGTTGGTACATGATGTGTAGCAATGAGCCCCTCTTGAATAGCATCCCGAACATAATGACAATCAATCTCGATGTGTTTTGTACGCTCATGAAAGACGAGATTTTGAGCAATATGAAGAGCGGACTTGCTGTCACAAAACAGTGACATAGCCCAAGGATGGTCAACACCAAGGCTAAGAAGGAGACCTTTAAGCCATTTTAATTCTGCCGTTAGTGCTGCCATAGAAACGGTATTCTGCCTCGGCCGAAGAACGCGACACCGTCTGTTGTTACTTGGTCTTCCAAGAAATGGGAGATGAACCAAGAAATACTAGCCAACCAGTCAGGGAACGACGAGTAAGCGGACAACTTACCCAATCAGAATCACACCACCACGACAAAATTAAATCACTGGAGGAGCTTAATAAAATACCTTGTCCAGGGGACCCCTTTAAGTAACGTACAACACGAAGTGCTGCATCCCAATGCCGTTGACGTGGATTCTGCATGAACTGAGAGAGAATGTGTACTGCATAAGCCAAGTCTGGATGTGTGAAGGACAGATATATCAAATGTCCAGTCAGCCGGCGATATGATTCAGGGTTAGACAGCAATGGGCCAGATGCCAAGGCCAGTGTATGATTTTGTTCAATGGGTAATTCAGAGGGTTTAGTGCCAAGCAAACGAGTCTCAGAAATAATATCAAGAGCATATTTGCGTTGGCAGAGAAAAATGCTCTCCATGCTACAGGCCACTTCAACTCCAAGAAAATATTGTAGAGTGCCCAAGTCCTTCATATGGAAGCACCTGCTCAAGTATTGTTTAAAATTTAGCAGGGCGGCAGAATCATTTCCAGCAATGATTAAATCATCAACATGGATGAGTACATTCAGATGGATTGTGCCCTGACGTAAAGTGAAAAGAGAGTAATAAGAATAACTGAATAAGAATGGCGAAATCCGCGTCGAAGAGAGGCAGCCAACTTGGCAAACCAACAGCGAGGAGCCTGTCGTAAACCATACAGAGAATTTTTCAATCGACACACAACACCACTCTGAGTAGGATGAAAACGAGGAGGAAGCTTCATGTAAACCTCCTCATCCAAATCGCCATGTAAAAATGCATTATGGACGTCCATCTGATGAAGCTCCCAGTTTTGGGCAGCAGCAACAGCTAAAAAGGCTCTAACAGTGACCATTTTAGCTACAGGAGCAAAGGTTTTGGTGTAATCAATGCCTTCCTCCTGATGATTTCCAAACACAACCAGACGAGCTTTAAGACGCTCAACCGTGCCATCAGAATGATACTTAAACCCACTTACATCCAAGAGCCTTTTTACCCGGAGGGAGAGGCTCCAGAACCCATGTATTATTATTTTCTAAAGCTCGTGTTTCATTCTGCATGGCCTGCCGCCATCCGTCATCATCCATGGCGTCTTGAAAAGTCCGGGGTTCAACACCTGAAAGAATAGCTCCAAGAAATGCCCGATGTCGTGAAGAAAATTTATCATAATTCACATAGTGATGAACTATAGGATAGGACATATCTGAGTAACGTGATGAGTCGGTAGGAGTGACGGATGGGTTCTCTGTCCGTAGATGTTGTGTAACAAAGTTGCGAAGCAGAACAAACACGCGTTTAACCCGCTGTCCTCGCCCGAGAAGAGTGTCTGCAGCATTGGTAGATGGTGTATCGGTCACAACTTCAGGCTGCGAGGCAGTGACCCGTGGCTGACCCGCAGCAGTAGCATCATCTCAGTCAACAATAGGCACAATATTATCCGTAAGAATAGGTACATCAACAGAAACAGGCGGGGTTGGTCCCTTCTTGGCGTCATTAGAAAACGGAAAGTCATTTTCATGGAATTTAACGTCACGGGAAACAAATATATCTCCGGTTTCCAAATCATATACCTTCCATCCTTTTTTGTCATGAGGATAACCAACAAAGACACACTTCTTACTGCGCGGGATAAACTTGTCACCTTTGGACTTCTTGTTATGAACAAAACAGAGACAACCAAACACTTGTATGTGGGCAAAATCAGGAGCTCGACCAGTAAGAAGCTCGTACGGAATTTTTCCTTCTAACAATCCTGAGGGAGAGCGATTAATTAAATATACCGCCGTGAGTACGCATTCCCCCCAAAAGTGTATAGGAACATTTGCCTGGAACATCAATGCACGAGCAACATTTAAAATATGCCGATGCTTACGTTCTACCCGTCCATTTTGCTGAGGGGTATCAACACATGAGCTTTGAAATATGATGCCATGTTCAGCAAAATAAGGGTGCATGCATTTGAATTCAATCCCATTATCGCTACGAACCATTTTAACAACAGTTGCAAATTGTGTATTAATCATAGCGAAAAATGAGACAAAATATTTGTACACCTCCTTTTTGTCACGCAATAAGTACACCGACACAGCTCTAGAATAATCATCCACGATAGTCAAAAAATATACTGCATCACAACTAGAAGGTGTATTATAGGGGCCCCATAAATCACAATGAACCAAGTCCAAAATATGACTGACTTTATTATCGCTAATAGGAAATGAATCACGAACTTGTTTGGCTTGCGGACATATCACACAAGCTTTATTAAGGGATTTTCTAAAATTACTAGAACTAACAGCAGGTAACAATTTGAGAACTCGGTCTGACGGATGACCCAACCGGCGGTGCCATAGCTCGAAATCAGTCAATCCAGACACTTCCACAGCATGCAAAGTAGAAACACGTCTGAAGAAGAACAACCCGTCCCTTCTCTCACCGGCTCCAATCAGGTTCCTCGAGTGTAGGTCCTGTATAGCACATAAAGAATTAGTGAAAGTAACAGTACAAAATAATTGTTCAGTCAGCTGGGAAACTGAAATAAGGTGACAATTCAACTTGGGGACATAACAAACATTTTCAAGAACAAGGTCTTTGGACAGGTGCACACGACCCTCCATGGTGGAAAAGATGGTACGCCCATCTGGCAAACCCGCCGCACAAGTGTGAATAGTATTAACATCAGTAGTGAGGCGACACAATTCTCCCGTTACATGTCAAGAGGCACTTGTATCCAATATCCAGTCAAGAGAACCGCACTTACCCGACATACGATTTGTGGTGCGAGTGCGAGTTTCAGCTTTAATCATATTTAAGAGTGTGTCAACCTGCTGCCTGCTCAAGTCTTACAGCGGATGATACTCACTGCCAACATAAGAAGAATCCGAAGCAGTAGCTTGAGGCCCGACCATAGAGGTTACTGCATGTGCCCGAGCTCCATTCCCTATTCCGCGTGAATCATCACCAGGCAGAGTCATTACAGGCGCCTGGGTACGACCTGCCCCAGTTTTGTTCCGGTTACGCTCTTCCCACCACTCCGGATAACCGATCAATTTGAAGCATGTACTCACATCATGACCTTTCTGTCTGCAATGGGTGCAAGTAATCCGCGCCTTTTCCGCCTTGTCCTGTTTTCCCTTGGTGCGGTCTGCCTGCAACGCAAACGCCTGGACCTCCACTGCACTCGCAATGCCTTTCCCACGTGCAATTGCGCGAGACCGTTCTTCTTGGAGAAAAGCTTGATGCGCGCGTGCGAGGTCGGGCAATGGAGTTTGAGAGAGCAAATTGGAGCGGACTGTGGCATATATTTCATCATCAATTCCTATTAGAAATTGATGAAGTTGTTCTTCATCCCGATCGGTTTCGTACTTTGCTGCCACGTTACATGTGCAGTTTCCGCACGTACAATTATGCAATGGCTTCAAGCGATTTCATCATATAATCCCATAAGAGCTGTAAAGTAGGCATCAACAGACATCGTTTTTGTTTGTTTATAGTTTGCAATAGCGGCGCGGAACTGCTGCAGACGCGGGCCATTCGCTTCACTGAAGCGCTTTTCGAGGTACTGCCAGAGTGTTCGCGCGACATCGTGGAATGGAATTGATGCCGCCACGTTTGATTCCATGCTCCTCAAAATCCAGGAGACTATCATTGAGTTATTCGTATCCCAATTTAGCACCCTGTCTGCATCAGTAGGCTTTCGGATCGTGCCATCAACGAAGACAAACTTCCGTCGTGCTTTCAACGACAAGCTGAAAGCCCTGGACCACGCCACGTAGTTTTCACCGTTGAGAATTACGCGGGTTATTAGATTT